CGTTCTCGAGCAACCAGCATGTAAAAAAAATAACTCATACTTCATAACAAAATGTCATGTAAATGTTGAAGACTTGGCAACATTGTGCTGAATGCTGAGAACTGACAAGACCACGCCCACAAATCGTGCGCCGTGTTGTCACGTTTACCCGAGCGTTTACCGGTTCAAATGTCCTCTAGTGTCAATTAATATAATTATTATTTACACAAATGTATTATAACCAATAAGCCACAACAGATGAGGGACCATTTTGTGACAATTGATGTTTTAGTGCTAATTAGGAATATTAACAATACATAATTGAGAATTTATGGGCTATTGAATAACGAATATTTCTGAAGTTCCCAATCGTATTACATATGGCAACTGTGCTATGGTCTGCCCCTACTTACTAAATCGTGACGTTAGTTTTTACTCGCGGTATATTTCTAGCTGTTTGTAATTACCCTGGCATTATTGATGATTTTGGCACCCTAAAATCAACCGAAAAATTCTAAAAAAATATGAAATCGAAACGTATTTGAGTGATGATTCTATTCGGCTAGGCTCTGGAATTAATTGCCTGAGGAAGTATTCCCAACAACATATAATCTCCAGAAGTTCAAAAAAAATTCCAATACCTACCTCCTATCCCTATCCTCCCTAGGAACACACGAAGTTCTTCGAACATTATAGGGATTCCCTTTCGTGCGCTCCAAGCGATAAAAAAAAATTCAAGAAATAAAAAAAAATAGTCCACTCGCCTATTGAACCGTGTGAAAAAAAATGTTTTCTTTTTAAAATGAGAAATTTGTGCCGACTTTTGGCAGACCCTGTATAGAGGACTAAAAATATTTCAGGAAGACTGGATATCATCAATTATTACAGCATACCAATCTTCATGGTTTTAACCCATCTGCAAGTTGAAAAACTTCTAATGTGTGGCCTTCATGAATCACTCTGTATATTGTCTCAAGAAATTGATGAAATAATTTCCATTCTTTGGGTTAAAAGTTTCAACTTCAATCACAGCCTTGATTAAATATAAAAAATTACATAGGGAGGTCAGAAAAAATATATAATTCAAAAACTCTTGAAGGGTAATGAAGCAACATGTGGTGTTCCATTTAAAAATATATAACTGATGTGGATATGTCTGAATATCCTGTGAAATTATTTCGAATTGTTCATACCAAATTTTTTAGTCAACTTAGTTGAAAAGAAGTCCATTATGTTTCATGGTTTTCATAACCACGTCGTATGAAGTAATTCACCCCGTATAATATGTGAACTGAGATGCTTGATGAGGATGACTTGTTTTTCAAATGAAAACTTTCTCCGCATTATTCAGATTTCATGTTGAGATTGGGAATAATTATAATTCCCAATTATTATGGTATTCTAGGTAATGCCCTGTATATTTAAGGCTAAATCTATATCTGCAGTATACATTGTAGTGTGCCAACTTATGATAATTTATTGTATTACCTATGAATAAATTAATAAATAAATAATGGCAATGTACACTTGTGATGATTTTTTCTGCTGAAAGATCATTATTTTATTTTCAAGTGGACATTAATGACTGTTTTAAGTGTTTATCAATGTTGACAATGTATGCACCTATGTGTTGTTAAGTATTGTTGCATATTGCATCTTGAAAAATATCAGTTTTATAATAAGTTTACAAAAATGTGGAATACTCGATTTTTTTAAACACTAAGTGTTGAATTTGAAATGATCTTGAAATTATGTTGTTATCTTCGACTTATATTTATATATACTTTCATTTTAAGAATTATTTTTACTGTATGAATGTTTTATATGTTGTTAACATTTTGATGTAATTATTTATTATTATTTTATAAATACATAAGTAAAAGAATTATCAGAGTATTATTATTGACTTAACTGGATATTGGCAAGTACTTCTTATTCAAATATTTCGAGAAAAAAAATTCAAAAACTTGATAAACCACAGTTTTGCCCTCAAGATACATGTACAAAGCTTTACTACAATTTTTTCAAATCTCAGAAATGAAAAAAATAGATATTTCAATTTCGTTCATTAATTCCTTCACGTCTACCGATTTTCTTACACGTTTCCAAGGAAAATTCCGTGATTATATCCAAATAATCCTTTGTTGATAATTTTGACAATGAGCCAAAAGGGTCCTTCAAGTGAAATGGTTACTTATACACCAAGGTAGTAAAGAATATCAGTATTACACAGGAACCAAGATTATATTCCGAGGCTTCAGCCGAGTGATATAAAGTCCCATTCATTGAATTGTTCAAATCGATGATTTTCCCTCGCAATTAACACACTTTCTCAATATTTCTTAATACAGTAAGAGGCACAACAATCTAAAACAATTTCGTGCAACAACAGAGGCAGTTTCTCAGGAATTACAAAGACATTCTTTAATGATTTTGAATATATTGAGACGTAAAATGGACATCAATTTGAACAATCCAATGAATAAGTTACTGAATAATTTCGAAATTGAATTGTTTTAATAAATATTTAATCAGGTACTTATTATTCTCCTTATGAACTTTTTATTACTATTTATTTGTTGCTATCAGGTACCTAAGTTTTGTGTTTTATCAGTTAATTAGTGTTGGTATTGTTTTCGTCCTCTTCATGGAGAAATCGAAAGAAATATTCCTTCAATTGGAACTTTTTCTATATGAAAAATCCACAGCCCACTATCAAAATTCAATGTTTTAGTGATTTTGGTGCGTTTTTGAAAATTTTATATTCATACATTATATATCATTTTGCAGGAAAATGAGGAATATGATGAGCTTATAAAATACAGGGATGTTCCATTTGAAAAATAAAAGTTTGAGTCGTATCTGCGAAAGCATACCGCGAAAAAAAATTGAGTGCGCCACTGGATTCTGCCTAAAATCCCCTATGGAATAATATTTTAGTTTGACATTTTCGCTGGGAAGCTTCATAGATAAAGAGGGGGTTCAAAAAGTATAAATTTTTAAAATCGCCCTGTATCTCATAAACGGAAACAGTTATGCAAAATCTAATTAGGCCATCTTGAGTTTCACCAAAAAGTGGCACAGGATCGTGGAAACCACAATGTTGTATCTCCAAAGATAACTGAGATATCACGCAAAAGCATCGACTCTACAGCACTCTGAGGAGAACACGATTTGCGACAGTGAACAAATTTGGGTTATTACTTAAAAATAATAGACTAAAATTTTTCACTGAACAGGCCCATTGTTGTTATCCTTTGGCAAATTATTCAAAGAAGTGCATTACTGAAGGGTGATGGCCAAGATATTATGGACCCAACCTAAAGAAGAACATTTATAAAATATACCGCTGGAAATCAAAGAATCAGCTAAGAGTGCAAAGCTCCAACTATACTCCCAGCAAAATCAAAAAAACTATATGAGAAGACGCATGATGAATTCATCAGAGGGGGCCATGAATTGATAATATGATAATATCACCTTATATCCACATATTATGTGGCACCGTATCGCCCGCTAGTGCAGAATATACTATTACCTTCTATCACCTACGGCCACTATAGAAAGTAGGCAAGTACACACGAGATACAGCCTCAGTAAGAAGCTCTTTACGCACAGTAAGCACATCGCACAGTTTTCGTTTATTTCGCCAGTATAGGAATGTCATGATCGCTTAATCGCCGTCAACAGCGAATGACATAACTGTCAAGAATTATAATTCAGACCGTTTGACCAAACTTTTTTTATGTACTATATGGCATTGGGTGAAGTATAGTACGTAATGTGTGTTGTAAAGCAATTACGCACTCATGTGAAATTAAAATTCGTGCGAAATATGCTTCTTACAACACATATTACGTAATATACTATTTGCGCACAATCCAGTGGTGTACTCAATTTTCTTTACAAGTATAGGTCATAAAATCCCATCCAAGAAAATCTACAAAAATAGTGATGCAAACAAAAATATTTCTGATCAGAAGTAAAAAATTTCACATTATTCTAAAAAAAAGTTTTAAGCAATTGAAGAATCAGGAAGAAAATTGCGAAACCATTCCGAGGAATGTGCTTGAGCATTTTAAAAAAATGATTCAAAGAAACCTAAAAATGTTTCACTGAATTGGGAGCATGGAGAATTAATCAATGTTTTGCAGAGGTTTGCTTGACACCCTGTATTATTACAGATGTCACCATATATTTCCAATGGATTTATGTACACAATGAAATGAACCACATCAGAATTAGTGGAATTATCACAATAATATTCCATGTTGAATTTAGTGCAATGATGGGGTTCGATTTCCAGCACGGGCAAGGAACTTTTTTCAATATTTTATTTACGAATTAAATATTGTAAAGTTTCGAAGCATCGGCTGGGGATAGTCCTGCACGATTCGCTGTTGCGATCCAATTAACAGTGCTGCTCCTAAAGTGGCGCATGGAGTTAGTAACAAAGCCTACACAGAACACGCAGAAAGATATGATGATGTGGTTGTGAGCATCAGAGAAGAAGTAGGACGGTGTATGTAGATGGGTGTGGAAAACTACCAGCTGAGCGTGCGAGCGGGCCAGCTGCTTAAGTAGACCTCGGTCTCGGGGGTTAACGATGATAGTTAGCAGGCCTGCCACTGCGCATATGGTAGTGAGTACATTACTAGCCTACAAAACACAGCTGAAAAACTCTGAAAAGACAGCTGATGGGCGGTGCCTGAAAAGGATGTTAGCCAGCTCTCTTGAGCGAACCACATCAGTCATTGAAAACACTTGGGGTTTGCAAAAAGGTCCCATTGGGGACTAGTTGCTGACGTGGAAACGTCCCCCACCAGTACCAGTACCAGTACCAGTAGTGCAATGATGTGCTCGTACCAAACTGAGAAAATAATCAGACTATCTATTTTCTTCATTTTCCTCTTCAAGTGCGTGAAAATTGCACCTTTTGCACCATAGACAATGACATATACAAAATTGAAACGTCTGTTAAAAAAAATCGAAGGGAATAAGTATTTTCTTGTTTTTATTTGACATAGTTCAATTTGAAGCCGAATAACAAACGGCAACATTAACTTCATAGGTTCTTAAAATTTCTTAGTACCCACCAAAATACCCTTACTTATAGGTTCAATAATAGCACCCATTTTTGTTGTAACCGCCGGTTCGATGAGCCTTTTGAAAGCAGTCTCCGGCACGAATGTATTACCAATAGGCGCCCTAATGCTAGCTTCATAGTCCTTCACGCTCTTGAATGGAAAAGGAACTTCCGACACCAATAAAGGCTTAATTTTGGCTTGTGCCTTTTCATTTATGATCAGCGATCCCTTATTGTCATCTTTCCTGGGCATTTGTGAGGGCATCTTAATTATGAATCGTTTTCTTTTGCGCTTGGTATGATCTATGTTACCTCCTGCCCAACTACCCCAACCGGGAAGATTCAAATCAATATCTTTGGGAGTGTCTTTTTCAATTTCATTGGCTTTTTCTTTCTCAAAGTCCACAGCAATATCATCGTCCTCAAAAGCTTCCAGTATAATGTCCCTCTGATCAGTTTCTTCTTCATCATCTTCATTGGTTAGGATATCTGGGATTGCAGTACTGAGATTGGTCTTCTTGGGCTGAATGAACTGATTTGGATTAATGTTTGGGACTTCCTGGTCTTTTTCTTTTGTTTCCAACAAATTTTTAAGAGCAATCAGGTCTGGACTTCTTGCATCTCCATTTTCACTTTCAAGATTGTGTGGTTGTTCCATCATTTCTTCATCTACCATTGGCTTCTTTCTCTTTGAAGGCATGGATAAATCAATCTTTTGATTTGACGGCTGATTACTGATCGTTTTCTGTTTAGATTTTTGTTTCTTCTTTTTTTTAGCTTTTCCTTTGCTTTTTCCTTCAATTGCACTGAATTTCTTTTTCAATTTCTTGTCGAGTGTTTCTTCCAGCTTCTCGAACACATCTTCAATATCACTACCACCATCATTCTGAAAGCTGACCTCCCATTCTGAAGTGCTGAAAGAGTTGTTTTGTTCAATAGTGGTTATATGGTTTGGACAGACTTTTTCTGACTCATTTGGAATTTTCACCCTCTTAGAATTCTTAGATGATGCCTTTACATTATTCTCTTTCGCAATTTTCTTTTCATCAGCTTCCTGAACATTGACAACAGAATTTTCATTGTTCCCTTCTTTATTTTTGTCATTCCAATATTTTCGATAACCACTCACAAAATCAATTACATCTTTATCTGGTTTTATTCCAGTAACCCATGGATTAGTTCCATCACTCTTAGTTCTATCTTTTTCTTCAGATTCAACAGCTTCTTCCTCTGATTCACTATCAACAGCTTTAATTTTTTGCGTTAAATCCCTGCTGATAGCTAGTTGTTGCGCCAAAACTTGTCGACTCTAGAACAAAGAATTTCATGATAGAAAAAAATCGATGAATCCGGCATAATTTTGATGTACGATGGAAATCAGAAAATTATATCGTGATTATGTCATATAATACAGAATGTTTCATTTAATATAACGAAATTGTATGCCATTTTCGGTGTAGGGATTAACACCCTTTATATCAGGGATGCACAAACCGCGGCCCGCCAACGAATTTTAGGAAATGTTAGAAAATCTACGAAAGAAGGTAAAAATAATCAATATTCAACTATTATTATTATGCAGGACAGAAGTCCTCCTCCTCTCATGATTCATCATTTCAATGCAAATAGTTTGAAGTCATCTATACTATTTATAAATATAAATATTTGTGTTAATATGTATCTTTGTAGTGGCCCGTACTTGGCTTATAGTTTTCCCTAGTGCCCTGTTCCTATAAGTCTGCTTTATATTATTCCAGAGTGATTTTTATATTGAGAATATACATAGGAGTTAGGAATGTAAAAACAAAGGATAGTTGTGAAAAATATATAGTAGTTTCAATAGATATGTAAGATTCAGATTAAAAATGATTCATTCAATAATCTATCGTGTTTTAATAATTGGTGTGCAACCGCCAAATCCGTTATAAGCGGCAGTACTATGCTGAATTTAATATTTGACGTGTAACGAAACGTCACGTGACTGCGACCGAGTAGGCAGTTTTTTTTATTCGAAGCAGAACTCAAGGCACTAATCGACTATTAGCATGTCTTTAAGGAAACACCCTGTATAATTCTAAATAATACTATTATATGATTTGGATCAGCGATCTAAATCTAACCGTCCAATTTTTCTTTTGCCACTCGTTTTGCCCAGCCCAGATAAAATTGTTAATTTTTCAATTGTACTGTTACGTTATTCGGGTGCAGAAGCGAACACGACACTATTTATTTTCGAACTGATTTATAACTACTATTTATGTAAAATGATTCATCACGCGGTATATGACTGTCTCTCTGACACTCGCTGCTTGACTGACTGACGGCAGTTGTCCGGCCGTCCATATACAGGGTGTCTGTAAACGGTTGGGACATGGCTCGGCTGTGGACTCCTGGGATAAAATCAAGTTGATTTAGGCCAACTTACCTTCATCCAAAATCGTCTCATTGAGTTGGTACAAGGCGTTGAATTTTTTTTTTTTTAAATAAAGGACCCCGCACGAAAACACGGGAAATTGGCTCTCGGTCGAAATTTTACTATGTTGTGGGATGGCTCATTAGAAGAATATGTGAGTTTGAAAAGTTTTGTATGTTTAGTTTCTGAGATATAAGCCGACAAAGTTCGTTAAAACGTCTTATCAGGGTAGGATTGACAAAGAAAAAAACCTATTTCTAGTATAAATAAGACAAAATAAGCTAGAAAATGTATTAATCGGAACTCAAATACATGTCTAGTTATGATCACATAAATTATAGTAAATCAGGGTGTATACGAGGCACGGTTAAAAAATTCATTTTTCGGCAAAAAAATTCGAGCATTATTCCAAAACCAACAAGTTATATTTTGGTGGGACATTATGGTTTTAGTCTATTGTAGGCTTCGAAAACGTATTTTGAGTCTTGATAACTATCTCTGTTCGAAATATGAATTTTTAGAATTTTGTGTTACACCCCTTTTTGAAAACAATTGACAGCTTGTTTTCGATCACAAAGAGAGGGTTTGATTGATACTGTTGATTGCATGAATGCTGATGTGACTCACTATCGAAATCAGTTGTTCAATATTGCCCTTCATTTAGATACAGGGTGTGTTAGATTTTGTTGAAGATTATTTAACATGTTTCAATTGAATATCTCGAAAACAGTTCCGTTAATTTGGATCTCAGTTTGCTGACACTATTTTGAATATGTTGACTATCATATGCAAACAGTTTTTCAATTTTTTATGTTTCGTTCCTGAGATATCAATTTTTGAGTTTACAGTATTACAGGTATTATAGGGTTCTTACCTCGGATGTCACTATCGATTCAATAGAACTTTACGGAATCTTTCAAACATTCAATAACATTATGAAACTATTTGAAATCAATAACTTTTTACTCTAAACAACACGAACCACATAGAATATCAATATGAAACTCAACAGTATGGATTCCGTAAAGTTCTGTTGAATCGATAGTAATATCCGAGGTAATAACCCTATAATACCTGTAATACTGTAAACTCAAAAATGCATATCTCAGAAACGAAACATAAAACATTGAAAAACTTCTTGCATATGATAGTCAACATATTCAAAATAGTGTGAGTGAAATGAGATCCAAATCAACGGAACTGTTTTCGAGATATTCAATTGAAACATGTTAAATAATCTTCAGCAAAATCTAACACACCCTGTATCTAAATGAAAAGCAATATTGAACAACTGAATTCGCTAGTGAGTTACCTCATTCATTAAATCAACTGTATCAATCAATCCTTTTTTTTTTGTGATCAAAAACAAGCTGTCAATTGTTTTCCACAAGAGGAATAATACAAAATTCAAAGAATTCATATTTCGAACAGAGATAATTATCATGAATGGAAATACGTTTTCGAAGCCTACAATAGACTAAAACTATAATGTCTCACCAAAATATAACTTGTTGGTTTTGGAATAGTACTCGAATTTTCTTTACGAAAAATGAATTTATTGACCGTGCCTCGTATACACCCTGATTTACTATAATTTATGTGATCATAACTAGACATGATTGTGTCTGAGTTCCGATGAATACATTTTCTAGCATATTTTGTCTTATTTATACTAAAAAAACGGTTTTTTCATTATCAATCCTACCCCGATACGACGTTTTTACGAACTTCGTCGGCTTATATCTCAGAAACTAAACATACAAAACTTTTTAAACTCACATATTCTTCTAATGAGCAATCCCACAACAACATAGTATAATTTCAGCAAATTTGACCGAGAGCCAATTTCTCGTGTTTTCGTGCGGGGTCCTTTGCTCATAAAAAGAGTACGCTAAGATCGATTTTCATAATTTTTGGCATGGCATGTTCTGTGACTGTAAGTCACGTTTTGAGATGTTTTTGATCATCATCAGTGACCTGCAAGTGTTTCAAACAAGCATGTTGCCGTACAAATTTGGTGATAACTTTCCAGAGGTCAGACTAGAAACTTCCAGTTTTCATTTTCCAGAAAGATATTCCCTTCAGAAATATTTTTTGTACTGTGTTAATTTTTGATAAGTCTCGAGGTTCATTTGCAAATAAATAATTTCCGATCTCAGGCATCTTATGAACTTTTTATAAAAATAATCTGGTTGGGACATGGCTTGACTGTAGACTCCTGGATGAAAATAAGTTGATTTTAGCCAACTTACCAAAATCCAACGTCGTTTCGTTGAGCTGGTACAAGGCGTTAAAGTTCTCACCTTAGGTCCTGAATAATTATCACTAAATTTGTAACGCGAGAGTTCTTGTAAAGCCCGCGAGGACCAGCAACATATCAGTTTGTTCACAATAAGAATACATAGTAGCCATTATCAATGAACAGTCCGTCTAATTAGATTGATTCTCAAAAATGCGCAGGATGCATCAGATCAGAAATTATTTATTTGCAAAGGAACCTCGAGACTTATCAAAAATTAACACGATACAAAAAATATTTCTGAAGGGAATATGTTTCTTTATTCATATATCTACTTATAGTTCTTATACCGAAAATCGTTTTGTTGAGTTTTGTTCAACAGCATCTGTATGTGTTGTGTCCAATCCTGTAACTCATTGATATTGACACCCAAGGTTTTTGACCTCTTCAACATTTCAGATTCGCAATACTGCTATAATTTGTTACTAATTTAGTACTAATTTATCACCATATTCGCAAATTTAATACCCTTCATTTAACAGAAAAACCAACGGCAGAACCATAGCAAAACATTGAAAACATTTATTTTTTGGAAAACTTGGAACATATAATAATTTATTACTATTTTATTACTAACTTTTAAACTGTGCTTTTAACTATACTCACGACTTTTTTGCTCATCATTCGATGAAAAAAAAACGCCTATTCTTCAATCTCGATCTCAACCTAGCAGAACCAAAACTCAAATAACATGTTATCTGAAATTCTATCAATTTATTACTAATTTATTGCCATATCCGCAAATTGATAACCCTTCATCCACAGAAAAAAACAACGGCTCTGCTACCTTTATGTCAACTTAGTAAAACCATAGCATTGCATTTATTTTCTTGACAACTTGAAATATACCATAATTTATAACTATTTTATGACTAATTTATTATCACAATAACAAATCTGCCACTCTCCATTCTGCCTAATTTCAGACTCTACCATCCACTCTATTTGTGAAATAGTCTAATAAAATTCCACTCCTGAATGAATTCATCTCACAAGTCAGCCCTGCGGACTCATGATGTTTTCTCAAAGCAACTCAGTTTAGTTAGGAAAAGGATCGATAGACTAATTACGAAAATTCAATCACTTGTGATAGGTATTACTACTGAACATTTCACTCGAGTTTGGTTCTGCTCGGTTGAGATAGAATAGACGAATCGTTGATTTCCTTCTCCAAATGGAAAGTGGCAGATTCGTTATTGAGGTAATGAATTGGTTATAAATTACCTACAGCGTTTATTGTCTGACACCAAGTCGAATTTCCTTGTAGTTTGTTTGGCAACTGAACTCCTTATATGATATATCTCGGACATAGTTCAAGTTTTGAAAACACTGAATTCAATGTTATGGTTGTGCTAAGTTGGCATAAAGCTAGCCGATCTGTTGTTTTTTTCCTCTTAATGAAGGGTTATTTTACAATAAAATAGTTATGAATTACTAACTTATTGAGGACTTCATAGAATTTCAAAACACTGGAGATCAGAGTTTTGCTTCTGCTACGTTATGATCGAGATAGACAAATCGGCGTTTTTTTCTTCGAATAATGAGTCAAAAATTCGTGATTATAGTTAGAAGTTGATAATAAAATAGTAGTAAACTATGGAATATTTCAAGTTTTCAGAAAAAAAAATTTTACCTATGGTTCTGCTAGGTTGACATAAAGCTAGCAGAGATGCTGGTTTTTCTGTTAAATGAAGGGTTAGAAATTTGCGAATGTGGCAATAAATCAGTAACAAATTTGTAATGTATTGATGACTCAATAGAATTTCAAATAACATGTGATTTGTGTTCAATTCTGTGTTGAACAGTCTCAAAAATCAATAAAATATGTAGACTTTCAGATCTGAAGTTTTTAATCAATTCTTTTCTTCCGTCGCACTCACGGTGACACTTTTACCAGAGATAAGTTACCCATCTCTCATCTCTGCTTCTACCAAATACAAGGTACTCAAAATTATAAAATGAGAATATTCAATATTTGACATTTGTCCCCCTGCTAGAAGAACTAATTTTCTTCTAGCTCTAAAAGACATAATTTTGTAACAGGCCGTCGATATTCTCCTGACATCGTCTTGACATCTACAACCCGTATTTTCTGGTCAGGTCCGGGGTAAACTTTGGAAATTTATAATATTCGACAATTTGATTCTTTGTTCTGCTTGGTTGAGATCGAGAATGAAAAATCGGCGTTTTTTTTTATCGAATGATGAGTAAAAAAATCGTGATTATAGTTATAAGTTAGTAATTAAATAGTAATAAATTATGGTATATTTGAAGTTTAAAAAAAAATGGATTTAAGCTAGCAGAGCCGTCCGTTTTTTTCTGTTAAATCAAGGGTAATAAATTCACCAATATGGTAATAAATGAGTACTAAATTAGCAACATATTATTAGCATTAGCATTATTGCAAATCTGAAACGTTGAAATGGTTCTACCAAGTTTATTGGGGTAGAATTTTGTATGTTCTGAAACAGTTATCTGTATATATAGGGGTAGTAGCACCCTTTTAGTGTGTATACCCCAATTCATCATTATAATCATTATATTGACGCAAAACATTTTTATCACAATGGTTTCAGTCGATATCTGAATGTTAAAACGGAAGAATCAATGTGATAACATTTTACACCTGTGCGCATATACTATTATTTCGTTTCCGATACGGCGACCGTTTCTATTTTCACCGGTATGAGGATATCCTTGTGGACTTGGCGACCGTTTCTATTTTCACAGGTATGAGGATATCCTTGTGGACTTTGTGAAGGAATTGATGTTTTTTATTTCATTTATTTTTATTTTGAACCAAAACTAATGTCTCTTTCTATAGGTCATCTACTGGTAGATTGAATAATATATAAAGTTCGCAATGTGAGTTGATAAACTGATCTTATTGCAAGTCTCATTGGATACCCCTCAAGATACCTCCAATAGGAAGAATACTGTTAGAAATTCTGCCCATTAATCAATCAACTAATGGTTGACCCAATTATCCTGAATAAAGAACTATCAGGAATCACTCATTTTTGCTATAGTACTTCCTACTACTATTAATGCTGAGGAATAATGGAAAACCCCTGAATGCTTAAATAATGTCTGTAAGGACAAAAGAACAAACTAGCTGAATATATCTTTACTGAAAATGGACAACATATGGCAGAATGGAATCATATTAAAATCATAGAAAAGGAAGATAACAAACAAGGGAAAAATTAAGGATTCTGCTTGTAGATTCTTCTGAATAGAGACAATAGCATTGCTTCCTGTTCAATTGATATAGATAAAACATGGTATTCACTACTAAGAACTTGACCTGAAAATGATATATTCAAGATTATTATTGAAAACATCTTGTAACTTATTTGTATACCAACATCATAGTCTGTCACTGAGAAATGTCACACTAAGAAGACCATTTAAAAAAATAATATGTCCCACTTTTTATGTTGAAAACAGGAGCAGATTTGTTCCCAAAACTTCCAAAGATGAGTGAAAATTTGATACTTTTTCAAAATCTCTATATTCCTCTTCTTCAAAAGGATCAAATATTCTCTATTAGGCTCTCTGATAAAAAATGTTTAAGAGTCACTAGGCAGTGACATTTTGGGACAAATCATCTGATTTGTCCTTACTACAGGGCAAGCTACAGGTATATTGAAATAATATTCATATTTTTTATTTCATAGAAACTAGGAGATACTCAAATAATCTAGATGCTTGTATATGATTTTCCATCTTGTCACTTGTTACAGCCTCTTTAAGCAGTAGTTGAGCTAGCAAGCTTCAAGGTGAGCTTTTGTAGGAGATTAGAGATCAAGTTATACCTAACTACAAAAAATTAACTCATAAACTCACCTCTTTATCATATTTAGCTCGCACTTGCTTATTTTTAGCCCATTGTCCAGTTCCCTTGTGTCTCAAACTGAACCTTTCTTCAGCTCTAGCTTTTTCAATGTCCTCCAATTTTTTCAAAGCTTCTTCTGGGTTTGTTTTTTGCAGTTGCTCAAATTGCTTGAGTGATTCTTTGATTTTTTCTCTCCTCTGGATTCTGTGGTATTTTTTACTCTTGATTTTATTTTGACGCCTTGCTTTAGCTTCTTTATAACTCTGATGGGCTCTCAACTTGGCTGACTCTTTTCTTCTCTCTTTTAGTTCTTCCAATGTCAGAGGGTATTGATGTTTTTCATCATCCTTTATATGATACTCTTCAACTTTTGGTTCAAGTTTTTCTAATTCTTTTTGTAAATCAGATTTGATTCTCCAAGTTGAAGGGTAAATCTCAGCTTTCTTTTCCTCAATGTTTACCTTCTCAATGCTGTCTAAGGGAAAAGACACATTTGTTGCAGCTCTGTTAGAAGTCACAAGTGCTTCCCACCTATCTAGTTGTAATCTGGATTTCTCATAATTGACAGCTCTCTTGATACGTTCCACCTGATGTTTGTCTAGTGGTTTTGGTAAAGTTTTACTTTTGGAATTTGTTGACTTCACTTTTCTGGATACTTCTACATATTTTTTTCGACTACTCAATAGTCTGGTGAGATCATTTATATGAACTAAGTCTTTAGTTTCACCTAGAGACTTTGCTAATGTAAATTCTGAAATTTGAGCCCTTGGCTCTGTACGAGATGGCTTCTTAAGATTCTGTCTTTTATTCAGATTGAGAACATCTGTCAATAATTTTTCATGTTTCCTGTCGTCTATTTCTTCATCTGACAATTCGAAATTATCACTATCTTCCTTCATTTTTATCAAAATTCAGAATAGGTAGTCAACTTGAAAGGAAAATACCGAGAAAACTGTTGATGCTTGACTTGATACCAATGATAATGATACCTTCTTGAAGCTGTTCATATCAGGTGAGGTGAGATGCTTGTCTCCAGTTGAGGACTTAGGCTTTCTGCTTTTTAATTAAAAACTTGAAAGTTTAAAAAATAGAACAGGTTATGTATTTCAGGTTATGTATTTTGCTAACCTCTCTTTTGACAGTAGCTAGGGATGCCGATCGATCGATCGACTTATCAGAGATCGATCTTTTTCGCCCAAAAATCGATTATTTAATCTATTTTTCCCATATATCTACTACCATATATGAAGCATAGCTATCCTCAAAGCGGGACCAAATTCTGTCAAGTAACGAAATCGACCAATGTGCGTTGATGCTGACGTAGGGAAAAAATAATACTGATACAACTTAGGCTTGTTCGTTTGTCCTTGCTCTACCTGCTGAACTTGTTTTTTTTCTATGACTTTCTTTGTTGTCATCATGCCATGAACAGAGACAACTATGGGACAAGAAAAGAATCAGCTTAAGCAAGTTTAGCAATACAAACGAACAGGCCTCTTATATTCAGTTCATTCAATGAAGCGGAGAGTCAAATTTAACGATATTAACTAATTATGTCAAAATAAGTATGATAAAATTTGAAATTTCATCCAAAAAATTTTAAAGGTCATCAGTCAATGACATTTATGACATAGACACTTTATCACATCATTATAACCTTTTTATGATCTAAGATGGAAGAGGAGAGAACTTTCCTCTTTTCTATCTTGAACGAGAGAGAGAAAAGTTCTCTCCTCTTCCATCTCTCTCTGCAATGCTACCAACGTGGCCGCATTGAGATGTTGAGAGGTACGATAAATCTTTCTTTGTCTAACGTCTACTCTGCGCTAGAGTCACTGGATGGTATTAGTTTGATAAGAGTTCGGACACAGAAATGACAACGGTTAGGGTTTTTGAATGTTTAGATTTATAAAGTTACACACCTTGCATTGTGACAAGAGCACCATAGTCGTCCCGCGCTTTTTCATTCAAAATTTTTTGAATTTGACAATTCATTTTATGAACGTCAGAATTGAAATAAAATTTCATAATTATTATACTTTCGAGATAAAAGCAGATATGGAAATCACTTGCTGTATAATAAATTGTGCCAATTTTGAAACAAATGGATATCATTCATTCAAATCAAATATCAAGCATTCGCTTATGGAAGAAAGATATGAAACGGCCTGGGTGGAAAATCAATTTGAAGACGAGCGAAATTTGTGAGGTACTCATTGAAATTCACTTCTTATAACAGCATCTGATTAGAATGAATCTATATTTTTGGTCCATTTTCAAACAGAAGATTTCAAAATCTGTTTGAGAGAATCTGCTGTTCCATCAATTTGCAAAGCAGACGATTTCAAGAACAAAATTCCATTATTATCATCACACAAAATACAAAACAAAATAATCATGGAAAAAGGGAAAATGATCGCAAAATTACATTATGAAATTGAAAATTTGAAAACGAAACTAAGAAAAGCAAGTAAACTACAACGTGATATATTATTTATGGCGTTTTTGGTGCTGACCGCGAATTCAAAATTCAACAGTGAAAAGTGAATAGATATTTATGTATCAAGGGAATTATTATAAGGGCCTTAATTACGCTGGAGGTTATCGTTTTGGAGATATTTTCTATATCGATCCATGTTACTTAGCTCCTAGAGGGCGCTAAGTGAAGTTTCTGAGAACTTAACAAAACCAAGTATTTGGTAGGTCTCGTCAAAATGAATTACTTTCCCATGAAATCTTTATCGAAAAATGATTTGTTCTCTCTATATATCTCCGAAATGAAGCATTTCCGGACACAAGCTTATATAGACTTTATTTCTTAAACTTGTCTCAGGAATACTTCACTGGAGTACAGTTTCACATACAATAGGGAGTTATAGCTATAAGTTTATCCATATGTATATATTCTCTGATATTAAAATGTTGTTACATGCATTTTTTTCATTTATATAATACTTGCTCTGCTAGAAGTGAATCACTATGAATTGAAGTGAGTGTTTGTACCCTATATCCATTGTCCATCTACGGCTATGACTGATTTGACAGAAAATATAACCTCTAAAATCGTAACTGACAATCAGGCACTACTAGGGAAATTGAAAAGACAAAGAGCCGAATATATGTCTTATTCTTTTATTCACTTAAACCATTGTATTATAGAAAATAGAAAAGGACAAAAGTTCAGCTGTGTCTGAACTCTTATCAAACTAATACCATCCAGTGACTCTACTCTGCGCCACTGAACTATTTTCGGTGTTATAATGATGTGACATGTCTATGTTATAAATGTCTTTGACTGATACCCTTCCTAATTTTTTGAATGAAATTACGAATTATATCATACTCATTTCGACATAATTTGTCGATATCCTTAAATTTGACTCTCTGCTGAATTCAAAAATAGTTCAGTGGCAAAACCTAGATGTTAGACAAGGACAGATTTATCGGACCTCTCTATATTTCAGTGCGGCTACATTGGTAAGCGTAATATATCAATCAACGGCAATGAACGGTATCATTGAAGAGGAAGATGGAAGAGGAGAGAACTTTCTCTCGTTCAAGATAGAAAAGACCTCAATCAGGGTCATTACTGTCATTAGGGATATTCACTTGGGGTGATCAATACTAGCGGGGGCTGTAGCGTTTCCCCACCGCAATGATTTTATTTTTCTCCTGTCTGTAGATGCTAGTACAGAATTATCATCAGCTCTACCAACCTTGATACAGAGAGCTACTGATGAAAATGGTGTAGTTCGACGTCTGTCATCCAGGCCTCACATTCAGTAAATCCACTGACTGTTGAAAATCTGTGTTCCGAGATATAAAACCAAAAGTACGGTGATGTAATTCGGAACACGTTCTCATGGTTTTCATTTCATCAGTTTTCAGCCGATGAACTCAATAAATCAGCAGCAGTTGATTTGGTGAAAGCCCTGACGAATCTCTGGTAAATTTAAATTCGTACCTTTAGTCTTTAGCAAAGTGGGGTGTGGCAACAGTGAGTTCGTTTATTTACTTTTGGACAGTTACCACTGTTACCAGTGTTACCAAATCGTCATCTCAATCAGTATTACCAATTAGTAACTTTTTGGGTGTTGTGTTTCGCCATTTTATTCAATGTTGTATTTTGTATTATAAATTATTTCCTGTGGTGGTCTTATCAATAATGATTACATTTGAATGTCGATTGCTATGATTTGATGTGTCTCTGTGCTTCCAAGGTAAGTGGATACTTGGTTAGTATGTAGTGTTAGTGCTCAGCTGCTTGGATTTTAAAAAGTTTGTTGGCCTAACATTTGACATTTTATACAAAACTGAAGAATGTAATTAGCAAATTGGCGATAACCTTTCACCAAATTCAAACATGGTTGTGAAAGGAATGAATAGTATTTCTGAATATAATATCGTTTATGTATAGTCCTCCAACGAGTCCTCCAACAACAATATTTTTCTTCTTGAGAAACATTTCTAAATACAAATAATCATAATCAAACAACTTCCTGCTTTTATTGATGAACGAAGGGGCTACGAGTTAAGATACTATACTCATCTCTGATCGAACATATCTCAGTATCTTATCACTTTTAGAAAGGCAGAACATGAAATCATGAATACATTCATGACATTCAATCATTTTATGGTTAGATCCTCCCTCAAAATGACTCACTTCCTTATTGACTTTAAAGTCCCGGTTGTAGGTTCTTTCAATTTGCTTTTATTTTATAATGTATTGCCCATATGTTTGCATCTATATTGGGTTTATTTTCAATGGTTGAATAATTACTGATGATATGCCATGCTACTGATGAAATCTACAATAAGAAAAAAGTGAAGTCTATGAGAAATTATTTATGTTTACTTGGTTTACAGGACATCATATCTAGAGCATGTAAAATTGAACAAATGCTTGTGCTCACTGACTGATTTCCTTTTTCTTGTCAAGAAGGTACATTAGATTTTGTGATTGTGTTAAGGATTGTCTTTGTAGAATTGTGACTTGTGACATGTTCTCGGACACGATGATAGAGTTACGGAGTTTGTAGGGAGGTAAGTAAGTAGGTAGGTGGTAGGTATATTTATTTCAATTCAAGAATAGGTGCCTACTTCTTTAGTTACCTGTTATTATTATGTTATTTAGTTACTCTTTATCTGTTATCTAATGTAAACTTTCTGGTAGTTACCATAATGATAGGAATACAAATAATATCAGTACTTTTTATTTCAGTCCATATTCAAATGATTAATAATAGGTACAATAATATAATAAGGCCAGTTCAGTATGCAGTTGGACAATTTTTCACTTCTATAATCAATATAGTTACATACTTACCATATGTTTTTTTCAAATGTCAGAAATTATTCATATTTATTGTGAGGCTGGTGACAGGTGTCAAAGGTCAAACGTGAATAAAATCAGCTACTGTGAAAATTATTATATTTTTCTACAAACCTCAAAAATGACAAGGTTCATGCATTGATAACAAATTGCAAATTGACACTTTTTCAGTTTCCTATGTTACCATGATACCTTGCACAAAACAATGCCTGAAGTAAAACAGTGCATGAAGTACAACAGTGCACGAAGTACCTACTTTGTGCATTGTTATGTAAAATATATGCGATATTTATATTGCAACTTTATGGTCCTCAATTGAGCAAACATCCACGAAATTATTTATTTCTGAATGTTCAACAATAACTTTGTTTTATCTCTTTGAGTGCACGAAAGGAAATTCCTATTATGTTCGTGGAACATCGTGCGTACCTAGGGAGGATAGGGGGAGGCCTCTTAGGCCAGTTCAACATTTCTTTTTATATCAAGCTAAGCATATTTTTACTTTAGAACTATATTTTTTGACGTTTGTAGAAAAAATGTTATTTGCAACTCCAGCGCAAAATACTTTGGTCATCTCAACTACAAATAAAAATCAGGTCTTGATCACCAAAGTAGCATTTCATGCTCTAGATACAAAAATCACTATTCTATCAAATCAAGAACTGTTTGATGGTTATTATTGAAAATGATGATGATGAAAATGATAAACAA